GCATTTGAATTTTAAGAATAATCAAAATAAGATTTTTAAAAAAATTTTAGGTAAAAGTGAGAGCAGATAAACTTTCATCTTGGTTTGAAAGTTATGTCTGTGATTCTGCATTGCTGCAGAAAGATAAATATCATGTGTCTTGAGAAGCTGCCAAGAGATATGCCATCACATAGCTTCTATGACCTTTAAATACGCTTCAGTGAAAACATGAGTGGAATTTAAATGGCACTGTGTGCTGCATAAGGAATCCAGCCTTAGATCTCCCAGTGGTGTAGGCAGGGCCAAATGGTCAGTGTCCTTTCTGAAAAGATTTTTCAAATAAAAAGACAAAAGCAGCTTCGTGTTCATTCAAACTCAAATTTTTCATTAAAAATTTAAATAAAAAATCCTCACTGAGGATCTGTAGTGATGAGGAAAATAGTAAGCACTGCAAACGCAGGAGTGCTTGCTTTGCTGCTTGGATTAGGTAGGATCCAGAAAAGGAATTCATCTGGCATGGGAGTCTGCCTTCTCACTCCAAGAAGACTGTCAACTGTTTAGTAGTTAGATAACTGGTGGCATAACTGGTCTTTCACCTTTTTAAAAGACTATTCCAGCTAAATTTAAACATTATTTTCTAATAATTTCATGAATAATTATTTCAAAAGTAACTTTCTCAGGTATACTCCTTTATTGTAATTACTGTATTGTACTACCAGTGCGATTTACTTTTAGAAATTTTAAAGAAACCAAGGACTGGGGAGACTTGAGAGATTAATCAGAAGATGAAGCAGACTTGCAAAAATGAGAACATGAGTCATACAAAGGTGACCTTACGTTTATGTGGCAGTCTGTGATCAAGAATCGTGTAAGCTGAGGATGTTCAGTGTGACTGGGAGCAATGATAGACCAGCTCTGATTTTTCAGTCATTTTTATTCCATAGATTTGTGTTTTCTGTATTTGAACTATATAATGTCTTTTTCATTTTAGCTTTGTGACCACAACAAATGGTCAGATGAATTTTCTAACTCTTTTTTAAATTTCCTCTTTTAAAATTAGTTTGTGCTGTGATTTTTGCTTCAAAGGAAGCTAAAACCTAGAGAAGTACAACATTCATTGGAGTTAATGTGATACAGATCAGCAGTTCTGAGAGTAGGTACTTAGGACTCAAGCTTTTCTTCTGCTTTTCCTCTTTACAAACATTTATAAGTCTCTAAATCAGTGTTCTTGACAACAAAATGAAGCTCTTAAAACATTATCTTAGGGACCAGTATTGTGGCATTGTGAGTTAAGCTGCCATCTGAAGCACTGACACCCCAGATGAGCACCAGTTCAAGTGTTGGCTGCTCCAGTTCCAGTCCAGCTCCCTGCTAACACCCCTGAGCAAGCAGAAGATGGCTGAGGTACATGGTCCTGCGCACAAACATTTAAAATTCAAATGAATCTCCTGGCTCAGGACTGGTCATTGTGATCAATCTACCCATCTTCCATTCATCTGGTTAGTCTGCGCATGCACACTGGGGTTCAAATAAATCCAAGCAAAGCATTGGCTTGACACAGATGAACGAAACAAGGCACAATTTCTGTTTTTAAAGAACATGTGGTGCATGGACAATATATAATACTTTCTCAGTGTTGAAGATATTAGTGTAAGGATAGGCGATAATATAATAATCAGATGGTTAATGAAGTACACCATCGTATTTTATGGCCAAAATTTGCACTGTTCTCTCAGTTCTTTGAAAGAATTAATGGGGAATAGAAAGAACTAATATATAATTGATAATAATATATAATATACTAATATATTATACTAATATAATATTATACTAATATAATATACTAATATATAATTGATAATAAGCATATCTGAGTCTTCATCATCATCCTTAAATCCAACTCAGATTTTGTGAACTCCCTTGATCATGATAACGCACTTGGGATAAGTCATATAATATTCAAACACAACAGTAGTAACAACCCAAAGACATAACTGCTCTTCTCATGATGGCATGCATAGAAAATGATCATCTTTTTGTGATACAATAATATGAATACATAAGGCAGCTATCTTGATACCAGATACCAGCCAAGGTATTCTGTTGCCCTTAGCCTTACCTGTCCTGCAGACAGTCAAGGAGATGCAACGTCCCTGAATACCTGTGACATCTTTGCAGCACACTTGTGCACTATGTCTGCCCGGCCATCAATACGCAATGCACTAGGTCACCCTTAGCTGGTACATGTTTTAATGACCCAGTCACTTACCGATTTCTTCTCATAAACAATTTGGACATGTTAATATAATGACTACATGATATGTCTTAATAAAGGATTGTGTGGAATCTAGAAGATCTCAAAGGAAAACGTTGGAGTAAGAATTACTATAGGTTTGAGATAGTTTTTCATAATGAAAATAAGCTTGCTCAGACGTTGGGAACCCTGGGCTTCTTTTCCAATGTAATCACCTTTGCCAAAACACATCACTCTGAAGTTCAATTTCTTTATTTTTAAAATGAAGCAGCTTAACTAAGATAACCTTCAAGTTGCCCTTACCTCAGAATCATGCATTTTGCTTTGCATTGTGCCCCCTATGTGTTGGGCACTGACTCGCTATGGTGTCTGATACATGCTCTGTAGCTAGTTTCATGGAGCTCCTCAGACTAAAGATTTCTGTTTAGATGCTGGAGAAATTGGAAAAGATCTAAGATGCTAAGAAGGAAAGAGAATGGGTACTAGGAAGAGTGCCTAGAAGGAATGAGGCTAACTATATCAATTTAAAATCCTTCTGATGGTTGCAGAAAGACTTGGTTTGCTGCTCCAAATTTTCAAAATGGCTTAACACTTCACTCATTAAAGCTAGGAACCTGATAAACTTAGCCACTTAGACTAAGTACTCCTAACTTGATTTCTAGAAACACTTACTGTATGTACTCAGATACTATCTAAGTGCATTGACAAAAACCAAATCTTTTATATGTGTGTACACACACACACACACAGAGTTTTTTCATGATAGGGTTCCATATGCACAAGAATTCCCCTTCTACACCACATTTTCCTCCTCCCATTGTTTTTCTCCATATTATTACAATAGGATGGTCCTTTAGTAAGGCACAAGTCCAATATTCTGCTATTCTCATAGGTGAACTGTATAATGGAGACTATCATACCAGGAAGTAAAGATATGCATCTCTGCTCCTGAATAAAAAGAGGACTCTCAGTAAAAACCAAATCTTCCTTGTCAAGCATGGTAGAAGAGTTCGCAGTAAAAATCCCTTAGGAGCAAACATTTATTGAGTCATGTGTCAGATAAATTAATAAAGAGGCCAAAACTAGGTCGTACAATGATATATCTGTGCATACTTTCAAGTACATAGAAGGCTATGCAGTACTGTGTCCTTCAGGATGGAGCTGCACTACATCCACAAGAGGACTCATGGACATACACAGACAAGTTAGAATTTTATCATATTATTACTTTATAAAATATGTACTTACGTATTCTCTAAAATGATAGTTGAACCCAGAGAGTTAATAAGCAAGAGAATTCTGTGTTTCTGTCTTCATATATGTATATAAGTATTTATGAAAAGAGGTGGAAAAGAATGGAAAAAGAGACACGTAGGAAAGAGAAAGGGAAGTCCAAAGGTCAGGATGGGAAAATAATCAGTGGTCCTAAAAGGGAAACACAGGACTTGGTAATCTCTCCCTTAACTCCCACCACCCCAGCTATGTTTCTGAGTTGAGTGTACAACTGAATCTACTGGCATAGCTTTGGAATTGATCACTCAAATTAACAAAAAGAAAAAATAATTTTAAGTTTGAAAGTACAAAAGTATCATAAACTTCAGAAGTGGTATTTGTGTGCTGTAACAACTGTAATAAAGATAACTTGTCAAAAATCCTTCCAAAGCAGAAAAAAAAAATTAAAATCCCAGGGAAATTTTTGCTTTAGTATCAAGAAACTCATTCCGAGAAGTACCAGCCTGTCTCATTTCCAAAACCTTCCCTTACCAGGGAAGCGGAAGCGGTCGAATACTTTCCCACCAGACTATGGCTGAATTATAATTATCCCATCTCTTGTGGAACAATGAAGCAGCAAACATCTGCTGTACTGAATTCAAAGCCCAGGGATGAAACTGTACTAGACTGTGAATCATACCTGGATCCTGATGAAAGATCCTTTTATTTTCTTTGCAATTTGAAGTATGGATTTGTTATTTCTGGCTCTATATTCTAAGATGAACTATATTAATTTCATTTGCTGACTACTGTTTTAACATTGAGAAATCACTGTACTAGAGCAGATGGACAATAATAGTTCTTCTGAAGTTAATTCTTTCACAGTTCTATTTTTAGAAGGATGATACAGATAAGAAAAATTTAAAAGTGCTCTATTTAAGAAATGAGATTTTGGGCCCGATGCAGTAGCCTGGCAGCTAAATCCTCATCTTCAGTATGCAAGGATCCCATATTTGTGCCAATTCTAATCCCAGCTGCCCCACTTCCCATCCAGCTCTTTGCTTGTGGCATGAGAAAACAGTTGAGGACAACCCAAAGCCTTGAGACTCTGCACCTGCGTGAGAGTCCTGTCTTCAGATCTGCTCAGCTCCGGCTGTCACTGCCACTTAGGGAGTGAATCATTGGATGGAAGATCTTTGTCTCTCCTCTTCTATACAGATCTGACTTTCCAATGAAAATAAAATAAATCTTTGAAATAAAAGAAATGAGGTCTTTTTGTTTAATAACAAAGGAACAGAAAAAGCATCTTAAGCTTTATTTTTTCAGAGAAACCAGCTGCAGAACTCCTGTTACTATCATATTGAGTGATGTAGAATATTTGGCAGTATGTCATGGAATGCATGGTAGCACTAAACTTTTCCCATCGTAAGAAAAACTATACCTCAATTCTAAGTTTTGGTTTTGAAAATATATTTAATAACCTACCTACTTAAATGTATTTTACTTTAAAATTTTACTTTAAAACGTGTGTGTCTTTGTGTTTTTGTGTATTTAGAGAGCAGAAAGACAAACTCGAGTTATGGACTCAGTTCAATATGCAGAATTCTGTGAAAGTCGACATTTAAGTTTCTGTAAGTACACACTTTGCTTAATTATATGTGTAAGACTTTGTGCGCTACAGATGTTCTGAAGTATGACGCAATCCCTGTTTTTTAGAATTTGGAGGATTTAATCTATGCGTGTATTAGGAACAACCGTAAACGAATTTACTGTACTCTAATATTTTGCAATTAATATTATTAAGAGATTTTAAAGGGTTCTGGAAATACAGAGAAAGCCATGCTAATTATTCGTATCACTGTTTAGTCATAATTTTCCTTAATATTCTGTTTTTTTATTTCTTCCCCACTTGCTTGGGCATGTTGATGCGAGTATTGCTGACTATACAAGACTCATAATGGATTCCAGTAATATAATCATGACATTTAACGGCCCAATATTAATTATAAATGCCAGACCTTCTCTTTAGGCCTAGTCATATTACCACAGAGGGACACATCAATAGTCTCTTGTGCTTTTGTCTTCCACCTCATGCTGTGACTGGCATTGAGTGGTGACCAAACTCATTAGTCCATGCTCTCACAACGCTAGTGAGCTGGTGTAGAATTAGCACTTTCCCATCATTGAAACACCCGTATTAAAAGTACATGAGAGCTCATGATAGTAGGTTGGATTGTGTAGCAAAACATCCTTAGAGCAGTAGTTCAGTGATGATTAATGCTGTGGGGGTAAAGGTCAAAAAAAATAGTGCGATGAGAAGTTCAGTTAAAAATATGACCAAGTAGCACATGACCCTGGTCTAAGGGATTATAGAAACAATGATGGCTTTTAATGAAAGCTATTATGTGGTCACAATAACAATGCAATTGATTTGGAAAAAGAAAATGAAAGCTTCATTTATAGATCATAAAGTGCATATAAATGACACATTGCAAATAGTACCTCATGTGGATGCCAGTGAAATATAGGAAAACAAGTTTGGGAAGATTTTTTTCTAACTAAATATACTTTCCAATCTAACAATTTGGCATCATACATCTGTGAAGCATTAAGTAAATGACACTACAGATCCTGGCAATTTCAGCAAATGAGAGGTTTTTGTATTATAATTCTTAGGTTTAAAAATGGCATTCAACTCTTTTATAAGTATAAATCTCCAGTTTATAAAGTAACATTTAGTGTAATTGAACTATTTTTTAAAATCATATTTAAAATTTATTTCACTTAAAGGAACAGAAGTGCTATTTCACAGCAAAGTTAATAGTCTTAAGATTTTTTAATATGCTCTTGTTTTGAAAACCAGGTTCTTTTTTTAGATATTTTTTTTAGTTGCTTTTTGTGACACAGTTTCATAGGCTCTGGGATTCTCCCAACACCTCCCCACACCTTCCCCCCATGGTGGATTCCTCCACCTTGTTGCAGTAGTACTGTTCATATCCAGTCATGATTCCTTCATTGCAAGCATGTACCAAGCATAGAGTCCAGCATCTTATTGTCCAGATAAGTTCAACAGTTTCTTGGGAGACCATCCCTCATCTGAAAGTAGAGCTGGCAGAATATCATGCCCTCCAATGAAAAGCCACAATATAACATCAGCAACAATTTGCGACATTATGGAGTTAATTGGCATGGTATTGAGTGACCAATATGTTAGAAAATTAAAACCAGGTTCTTGGTGACTTCATTTTTGTTTTTTAATTCAATCATAAAGCATAGTGGATTGAAAATTTTGCTGTGTAAAATAATTACAGGATAAGGAGTATATTATTCTTAACTTTCTTTTCTTGGAAGAGATTTGGTTATTTATAAAAGTATTGTTTATATGGTTCCCATAGGTATTTCATTATGAAACCTTGGAGGGAGAATGTTTTATGTGACCAAACTCTGGGAATGCTAATCCAAGTGTGGGTCAGCAAATTTAGAAAACACTGCTCAGAGTGTTGAGTTCCCTTGATTATTCTCTTTTTGGTAAATTATCAGGACATAGAAATTGTCATCCTGCTACTGTATGTGTCTTCTTAAGCATTTGGTGATAGCAGCCACTGGCATTGCTGGAGCATTTTAGAATAAATGAGTTAATAGGCTAAGTGTGGCCTGTAGCATCAGGACAACGGCCAATCCACTAGTCCTGTAACTGAATAAATCAAATGCCCTTTCCCTTACAATCTGTTATAATCTGATGGTAATGTTGATTCTCAAAGTTATCTTAACTGCAATTTTCCCGATAGCTCATCTTCTAATCCTTTCCTTTCAGCCTTTTATTTTTATACATGGGTTTTGTAAACAACTAATAACTAGGATGATCTTTTTAATAAAGCAGAGAGAGGCTGGCTTTGCAGTCTAACAAGTGAAGCTGCTGCTTTCATCATATTGCTTCCTGTGTGGGAATGCTAGTTTCAGTCTCTGCTGCTTCTCTTCCCTTCCAGCTCCCTGCTAATGGGATTGGGGAGGCAGCAGATGATGGCCCAGTACTTGGATTCCTGTAACCTATGTCAGAAATCCCGTGGTTCTTGGCTTTACCCTGGCCCAGCAATAGCTGCTGTGGGCATTTGGGAAACGAACTGAGATCTTTCTCTGTCATGCTGCCTTTCAAATAAATAAATCTTTATAAATCAGAATCTATCTCAATTGAAAAATTCCAATTATGTGCATTTAAATGTGAATACATTTGAGATAGCATATGCTGTCTCTGTGTTTTACAACTACTGAGTATTTAGAATTCATTTTTTTCTGCCTTTTCTGTGTTCTACTGTATTGATTGAACTTTATTCACCCAATTTTCTTCTTCTGGTTTGTGTATCCTATATTTTATGTTTACTATTTCAGTTGCTATCTTTAATTTTTTAAATATATGCTCTTGACTTAAAATGCTTAAGTCAAATGTTCTTCGCTTGGTGTTTTTTTTCTTCTCTGAGAGTCCTTAAAGTACTTAGTTATTTAATAACTTCATTATACATCTATACTTAAATGGTTATTTTGTTGGATAGGAACTTGTAGAATAATGGTTATTTCTTAAAACATGATTTCATTGAGTTTTAGTTTCTGTCATTGATGTAAGTTTGCTGTTACTCTGTTAGATTTGTATATTTACTGAGGGAAGACTTCGTTCTCCTAAGGGAATAGAAATAATGCCGAGACCCTTTGTTAGGTAAGAAAATGAACAGATTGACAATCAGTAGCTGCCTGATATGTACAGAAGAAGAGTAAAGAACCACTGTGGGAAGTCCAGGGAAAACCATGTCTTCTGAGGAATGCTATTTTCACTTAAAGACTAATGATTATGAAAGGCTGAATAGTTGTGGAATAATTTCTTGGGGCCTGGCTCTAAGATACAGCAGGTAAAGTAGGCATTCCATATGGGCACTGGTTGAATCCAGGCACCTGGACTTCCAGTCCAGCTCCCTGTTAATGTACTGCAGAAAGAAAAGCAAAATGGCCCAGGAACTTGAGCCCCGCACTCATGTGGGAGACCCAGAGGAAGGTCCTGGCTCCTGGCTTCAGATGGCTTCAGCCCTGGCTATTGCAGCCATTTGAGGGGAGTGAATCAACAAATAAAAGACCTGACTCCCTCTCTAACTCTCTTTTAAATAAATAAATTTTAAAAAATGGGTGAGGGAGAGATCTCTTTTTCTTTTTTGAGTGTAATGAGTGGGACAGGCTTCTGGTACAGTTATTAAGACACTAGTGGAGACACCTATAACCTATGTCAGAATGCCTAGATTCAAATCGCAGCATTGCTTCCAACTCCAACTCTTGCTAACTCAAGGAGGCAGCAGATAATGTAACCAACACTTGATTCCCTGCCACCTGCAAGGGGGAACTGGGTTGCATTCCAGATTTCTAGCATAGCCCGAACTATTGTGGGTATTTGTGAAGTGAATCATTGGATAGAAGGTCTTTTTGTCTTAAATTAGAGAGAGAGAGAGAGAGAGAGAGAGAGGGATGGGGTGGAAATCATGAAATAAGAGAATGGAATATTACAGGAAGCCTAAATTTTGTTAGTAATCATTGACAAGAAAGATACGAGGGGTATGAAAACAGCAAGTCTCATATTTAATGATATTAAATCATTATGTGAATTGTTTTAAGTCAAGTACAGAAGGAAAACTAAGATGGTATCAGGATGCTGATCAGGATGGGAACTTCAGGCCATTGTTAAGGATTCTATTTAAATTGTTAGTCAATTTCCATATTGTCCTTTCTCCTGATATGTTGGAGAAGAGCAAAGTTGAAGGAACTCATTCATTCCAAGGTTGTCTTACCTAGTGATGAAAGCAAACCATTCTGCTAGGGGTGGCTGTATCTTTCCTACTGGAACCAATAGGATCTTGAAGAACGAACTTTGAAGCAGTTCTTTTTCAGGGTACAAAAAGGAAATTAGGTCAGAAAATCATGTTAGTAGAAAAGGAAAAGTACAAGACTTATGCACCCTATACACATCTTTTTAATGCATAGAATTTAGGCCTTACCTTTTATTAAAGTGAGTTATTTTTTCACTGATGTATGCATTTCTTCTAGAAATATTTCTTGTGAGTTTGCTAATGTCAGCCTGGTGGTGACGCATTCTTGGGGCTTATGTGCTAGTGAGGAAGCTGCAAATTTTATTGATCATTTGGCTATATCTGACTGTATTCTAACAGCATTTTTCCTCAATTTAAAATATACTGTTTTAAGCACAATCACCAAATCAGTGTTCTTTATTCTGAGTGATCTGTCAGAGGCATTCTATAGATGTTCAGTAAGTTTGTGAGCTATTCCAGCTTCCTGGTTAGATGGAATGTTGCATGCTATAGAGTATTTGGAAGACTGGTTACTTTAGGGTAATAGCTTTAAGGGGAATTATCATAATTCTGCCATATTTGACAGTTTTGAATATGTGCTTTGATAACAAGACTTACATCTTCTCTGATTTATGTAGAAGGAAACTCTTCTGTATCTAGAATGCATGGAAGATTCTATCTATAAGGAACAAAATATCATGCTTTGAATTACTATTAAGTGTTTTACAAGACCTATGGGACCAGATTAATCTAAAGAATAATCAGTGGGTTTTTGAAGGGTTTTTTTTTACTGATTAGATAAAATCTTCATTAGTAATCTTTTCCCTCTAGCTTATTTAAATTAGTAATGTGTAGTGAACTCTGTGCTTAGCACTGTGGGAGTTTAGGATATTTAACTAAAGATTCCATATGTGCATGTTACATAGGAGATGTATGGTACTATTAGGTACACAGAGAAGTGTGAGGTACAGTCTTCCCCTACAAAGAACTTACACTGTGACTTGAGAAATTATAAAAAGACCAGGGCCAGGCACGCTAGCCTAGGGGCTAAAGTCCTTGCCTTGCATGTGCCTGGATTCCATATGGGCACTAGTTCCCATCCAGCTCCCTGCTTGTGGCCTGAGAAAGCAGTCAAGCATAGCCCAAAGCCTTAGGAGACCTGGAAGAGGCTTCTGGCTTCTGGCTTCTGGCTTCAGATCAGTGCATCTCCTGCCATTGCGGCCCCTGGGAGTGAATCAGCAGATGGAAGATCTTCCTCTCTGTCTCTCTCCCTCTCTGTATATCTGATTTTCAAATAACAATAAAATAAATCTTCAAAACGGAAAAGAACTTGTAAGTAGACCTGAAATGATGTGTAATGATACAATAAATGGCTATCTCAGAGAAGTAAACTTTTGACTTGAATGGTCAAGATTCACAGAATGAAGAAGAGTGATCAGAAAACATTCATGGAAAGAAAGGAGCAAGAGTAAAACAGAGAGGATTGCAATCAAGGCTAGGTGGGGACTTAATATAGCAGTAATATGAAGCTGCATTTGAAAGTCAGGCTTAAGAATGAACCTATCTTTTTCTTTCTTTCTCTCTGTCTTCCTTTTTTCTTTTTTAAGGCTCCCTTAGTTTGAAAGGCAAAGCGAAAGGAAGGGAGACACACATGGAGAGCTTCCATCTGCTGAGTCGTTCTCCAAGTGGCTGCTACAGCCAGAGCTGGGCTAGGACAAAGCCGGAAGTAAGGAACCCCAGGTGATTCTCCACATGGGTGGCAGTAGCCCTGGTGTTTACTTGGGCTACCTTCTGCTGTGTTCTCAAGCACATTAGCAGAAAACTGGTTGGGAAACAGCCGGGATTTTAAGCCCCAGTATAGTATGGGATGCCAGTGTTACAAGCAATGGCTTAACCTTATGTGCCACAAGGCTGGCCCCAGAATGTGGACATCTTAGTACTCAGGAACATACAACCACAGATTTAGATCAGACCAGATATTAGTTTATTTAATTCAGAATTCATAACTTTTGAGCCTGAAGTATTAAAAATGCAATTTCTGGGCCCGGCACAGTGGCGCAAGTGGTTAAGGTCCTCACCTTGCACGCCCGGGATCCCATATGGGCACCGGTTCTAATCCCAGCAGCCCCGCTTCCCTTCCAGCTCCCCGCCTCTGGCCCGGGAAAGCAGTCGAGGACGGCCCAAAGCTTTGGGACCCTGCACCCGCGTGGGAGACCCAGAAGAGGCTCCTGGCTTCGGATCAGCATAGCATCGGCCATTGTGCTCACTTGGGGAGTGAATCATTGGACGGAAGATCTTCCTCTCTGTCTCTCCTCTCTGTATATTCACCTTTCCATAAAAAAAATAATGAAAATAAATCTTTAAAAAAAATGCAATTTTTGTGTGTTCTATCACAAATTCTCTGAGGAAGTTTTCTTTCCACAAGAATAAATTAGGTTAAATCAAACAAGCAGAGTCCTGTATGGTAACCTAGTAGCTAAATCTTTGCCTTGTATGCAGCAAGATCCCATATGGACACTGGTTTGTGTCCTGGCTGCTCTACTTCCTTCCAACTCCCTGCTTATGGCCTGGGAAAACAGTCAAGGACAGCCCAAAACCTTGGGACCCTGCACCCATGTGGGAGACCCAAAAGAAGCTCCTGGCTTCAGATAGGCTCAGCTCTAGCTGGCCATTGCAGCCACTTGGGAGTGAACCACTCGATAGAACATCTTTCTCTGTATCTCTCCTTCTCTCTGTATATCTGATTTTCTAAACAAATCTTAAAAAACAAAAAAAATCGAACAAGCAACTCTTCTTCCTGTCCTTGTAACATAAAGTTATAGCCAGGAGGACCTTATTGTGAAACTGTGAGAAGTGTAAACATCAGCGGTTTAGTATACTATGTCATAGAGCGCAGATACAACATAAAAAATCTGAAAGCACAAGATGTTTCTTGAGTGCAGCTATTTTGTCGCTTTGTAACAGAGTTAAAACTTAGGTTTCCTGTGATTACATTATTAAAAATTGAAAAACAATGCCTCTTAATCATTATTCAATGTATTTGAATAATTAATTAATGTATAATTACTTTTATGTATAATTACTTTTAGCTTGGCAGTAGCTATATACAGTATTAAGCATCTTAAAAACTAATTTTATTTATTTATTTATTATTTACTTATTTTTCGGCTAGCCAAAAAAACTTCTAAATTTCGAGACTGGTTGGACTGCAGCAGTATGGAGATCAAACCAACTATTGTCGCTATGGAACTGTTAGCGTATTTAGCATATGAAACTGTGGCACAGGTAAGAACATGAAACTGTCCTGTCAGGCTCCTATGAATAATTTATCCTTATTTTTATCTGTGATCAATTCTTGTACCCAGTGCACTGTACCAGGAATGAAAATGGCCATGAGTTGTCCTCTCTGACAGTTCATGTCATTTTTTATGTTAATTTAGTTCTTTGGATCCTCAGCTCTTGTGGCTGTTAGGGTAAAACAGATGATTTCTTGTAACGTTACGATAAGGAATGCCTGCATACTTTTTCTTGACATTGAACTCTTAGGTCCACTTCTGCCTCATTTAGAGGTTATTTTTAAGATTTGAAAAATAGCTTTTCAGGTATATGAGATCTCCCAAGTGATTAGCAAATCTGAGTCCAGAATCTCTGCCTTCTAACAGTTTCTGTAAGTGTGGTCTTTAGACCACAGCATCAGCATTTCCTTGGTTTTTGTTTAAAATGCAAATTCCTAATGAGTTAGAATCTCTGGGCATACAGCCCAGAAATCTGTATTTTAAAGTACTTCCCTAGTGATTCTGAAATAAATTTAAGAACTATTCCTCTAGCAAATCAGAATATACCATTTGTAATCACAGGTAAGTCACTTCTCCAGCCAATGGCAGTATATTATATAGAAAACATAGTTGTAAGTAGACAGTGTTGTCAGTATTTGGAATGTATTTGAAGTTTACCTTTGCAATGATATTGATGATTATTTCCAGCTGTATGACTTCCCTCTCACTACTTTGGTCTTCTTCTAGTTAGTGGATTTGGCTCTGCTCGTGAGACAGGACATGGTAACCAAGGCAGGGGACCCCTTTAGCCATGCCATTTCTGCAACCTTCATTCAGTATCACAACTCTGCTGAGGTAAGAATCTAGTTGTTTGTCCTGAACACATCCATGGTCTTTTCATGTATGTGGTATTTCATTAGTGGTTCTTGACAAATAGTAGCCTTTAGTGAAAAATTCAAGATTCAAATACTTATTGAACACCTACTATGAGCCAGGCCCTGATAATCAACTGACACAACAAATTGTTCTAACTTTTCTTTGCTTCATTTAGCTTTCTAATCTCTTCAGAAATTAGAGAGGGATAATTCTAGAGGTTGTCCTTAGATAATAATACAAAAAGTTAATTCTTGGTGCCCCAAAAGATGAGATATTTTAAGTTACAGAATAATTGATGACATTTATTCATAACTTTCCATCTCACTTATTAATCCATATCCAAACAAAATTTAAAGTAGCATTTATCTTCATTTATGGATTCACCCTGTCATGTGAAAATCATCTTTCTTATCTGATTGATACTGCTGGCATACCCAGCTGTAAAGTCTTCTTGCCAATTTTAAGACCTTCTATAAAAGCTGTATACCACTTTAAATATACTGAATATGTTCTGTAAGTAGCATGTGTCTAAAAACCAGAAATATAACATAGTATGCTGAATACATTTGCTGCCAAAAAACAACAGCTTCATGCAATTCAATGTAATCACCATGGTGAAGGGAGCAATGTCAGGTTAATATCCACATGGATAACTGTGAAACAAGTCATATTGGGTATAATGTATAAAGTAATAGTGACTGAGCACTATTTTATATCCATGCCTTAATTACAAATATCTACTCCCTGTTAATACCTGCAGGACAAATCTGAATAGACTCTAAGAAGTAGCAGTAATCCTTTTTTAGGTTACATACCCCCTTTGATAATCTGATGAAAACTCCAAAACCTTTCTATGTAAACACATTTGCAAATTTCACGTATCATCTCAGGTTGTGGATCCCAGGTTAAGTATCTCTGCTCTGTGATACATAGAAGCTACACACACACACAGACATGTGTTTGTGTATACACCTGCATATCTTTTGCCTTTTCCAGACAAAAAATCAGCTTAATATCTTTGTATGCCCCCTTAGAAAATCATATTGGCTTGGAGTTGAAGTAGGGATTAAAATGTTTATGCTCATTAAAAATCCATCTTTTCTCCTTGAGAAAGGTCATACATCATTATCAGCCAACATACTTTAAAAGTTCCTAAAGCTTACTTAGTTGATTAAACACTATTTGTTTTCTTTTTGTTACAAACACAAATTGTGATGTCAAAGAACACCATTTAAAATATCTTTGATGCATGTTCACATTATGAATATGTGCGTAAGTATGCTTTCCATTAACATCAGACAGATTTGTTGTAACATTTCTAATTGAGGAAATTTACTGTGAACATAACAAGCCTAGTTTTCCCTTAACATTGAAGTGATTGCTTGCCTGGCTAGGAAAACATTTTATTTCCCTCCACCTCCACCCTTTCTTGGTTCTCCAGGGTGGCCAAGCTGCCCTGGGCGTTTGCTCAGCAACCACAGCTGCTGTTCTCAGCTTACCCAGCAGTTGAGAAAAATGTCCTGTTTGCTGATTTCCTGGGCTCTCTGGGAGGTGGGAGCATGAATGTAGGAGAGCATCCTGACAAAATATGTTAGTACAAGCCTCATGCCTTTTCCTGGCCTGGCAGACAGCTTTACTGCTCTAAGCTAGTCATCAAAGAAGTCGCCTTCTCTGCCCTTTGTTACCTGACAAAATACAAGAGAATGGTAAGGAAGGAATCTTGCATCAGTGTTATAGTCCAGCAACCAACATCAACGGCCTGGACACTGAGGTCTGTACCACAGAGGGATTCTGAAGACTGATGTGATATATGTTCAAAGAGACATAACAAACAAGCCAGCAACTCAAGATGGTGTATATTCATTTTCAAATGAGTAACCCAGACGGTATAGAGGACTGAAAAGCAAAAACCAAAAAAAAACCCTTTAGTTTACAGTCACAGGCTATGGAGGCTGAATGTTGAAGAAAAGGAGGCCCATGTAGAAAATACTTTCAGGCCTCAGACACAGCAGAAATACTGTTGTACAAGAAAAAAACAAACAAACAAAAAAAAAAAACCCTCAACTAAATTCCTCAAGCCAAGCTTTCTTTGAGAATGGACACTAGAGAATTAAGGCCCAACTTGTACAGGGTGTTGGACTACTAGAGTTAAGGGACATGTGAAGGTTTATTGGCTGAAGAGTGACTCATTCAAAAGGATGTTTTAAGGAAATCCCAATAGTGATGCTGTGTACAGTAAATTGGAGTGAAGGAGCCTAAAAGTGTGTCTCGTAATAACTGGCTGCAGGGACTTGGGGTGTTTGACTAGAAGAGAAAAAGTTGTAAAAATAACAGATTTCAAATATTTAAAGTGCTTCCATATGAAATAAAGAACAGACTTACAGTCATGGCCAGAGAAACCAGATAAGAGACATGAGGAAGGAGATAAATGTGGGAGAGGTGGTAGAATCTCCAGTGGAAGGGTTTGAGTGAGCTTCTGAGTAGACACTGGTCACCAAGCACAAAATACCTGAAAGGCATTCAGCTGTGGAGAAAGTTGTTAAGATTCCTTTTGAGACATGTAAACTTGAAATGCTAGCAAAACTCCAGGTAGGAATGTAGATATCTCAGAAATGTTCAAAGCTGTAAGTGAACAGCAATGATTTTGTATAAAAATAGACATACCAAAATTAACATTTAAAACCTTGAAGGACAAGGCAAGGACATCATTTCTCTGGAATAGATAATGGTAATTTTTTTATATTTGTAAGCTAACAATAATACTACCTTCATGAATGGTGAAGAAAATATTATCTTGATGGTAGTTGTGAACACTTTATTTGAAAACTATGTCTCTTTAGGCAAGGGTCTTATTTTAAGTGCTGACTGCTAAACTCGGTTACACCCAAGCAGGGTTGGGCGGGCGGAGATCTGTTATGCTTGATTTTCTGCTACAGAGTGGAGAAGGATCCATTTTGTTTTTTTCAGAGATATAAAGGATGTGCTTTTTTTCGCTGCCCAGTAGCATTCAACAATTCTCAATGACTTCTACTTAAATTCCTTATTACAAGGGTTTTTTTTTTTTAAGATTTTTTTATTTTTATTTGAAAGGTAGGTTTATGGAAAGAGGAGGAGATACAGAGAGAATTTTTCATCCTCTGGTTCATTTCCCAAATGACCACAAAGGCCAGAGTTGGCCCAGTCCAAAGCCAGGAGCCATAACCTTCTTCTGGATTTCCCACATGGGTGCAGGGGCCCAAGGCTTTAGACCATCTTTCGCTGCTTTCCCAGGTACATTGACAGGGAGTTGGATAGAAAGTAGAACAGTCAGAACTTAAACAAGCACCCTTATTGGATACTGGCACTAAAGGCAGAAACTTAATGTATACTGTCTTGTCCTTCTTGCCAGCCCCTCTATTCATACTTTTTAAATGGCTTTCTTCTATATAGAAAGGGTGATGATTTTCTAATGTTTTGTTACGAAATTTTTCATGCACAGAGAAGTTAAAAGGATTACAGAATGAGCATCCTGTAACTGTCATGTAGATTCTACACTTGATGTTTTACTGTGAGTACTGTATAGTTGTGTGTTTATCGTATTAATAGTTATTCCATATATCCATCCCTTCACACATACAGCACCAATGCTTCTTTTGTTTAATGCATTGCTGAACACCCTTTCATTCCTAAACACTTCATTGTGTCTACCTATGGTTTTTAAGGTGAAATTAATTTACCTGAACCACTTGACTTAGGTGGACTATTTCATGTGTTTTAACAAGTCTAAAATTTTTTGAAAACTCTATTAGGATATCAAACATTATCATCATTTAAAAAGTTTATCTATAGTTCCTGTCCATCATTTCCTGCCACCAACTCTGGAAAGACAACCCATGCTGAGCTTTTTTTTTTTTTTTTTTTTTTTATTAGAGGCTAGTTTATTCTGCTGTGTTCTAGAATGTCAGGCAAAAAGAATATGGTAATTATTCATTCTGGGAATTCTCTTTTAGTTGGAAGGTTTTTGTATAGTTTCAATAGAATTTATTCTCTTTATTGCTGAGCAGTATCCCACTGTGTGAATATATTCATTTATTCATTCTCATGTTGGCAGCTTTTGAGATCTTTATAAATAAACGTTCTTGTGAAAATTCTTGTAGAAGTTTTTAAGCACAGATATTTTGGTTTATTTTCAGTTGATACTTAATGATGTTGCTGGCAGTGATAAGCATGTGTTTTATTTTTAGAGAAGCTACCGGACTTTTCCTTACCATTATACTTTTACTGTCCATATCTGAGTTTCAGTTACTTCACATCCTCATCAACATTTTGTTTTGTCATTGTGTTGACTTTTAGCCATTCTCATGCATGTTTAGTGCTGGCTCAATCCAATTTTTGTTTCTCTTATGTTTATTACCTTTACACATTTTAGCTGTAAAGTATTTAGTTATTCCAAAATCATGGTAATATTCTTTTGTGTTTTCTTTTAGAAGCTTTGTAACCTTACTATTTGTTCTGCTAATCTGATCCTATTAACTTTTATTAGGTGAATTGAGGCCATACTCAGCATTTCACATTTGGATATCTGAATATTCCAACTGTTTCTTCAAAGGAATTTTTCTTTGCATTGAAAGTGTATGGGAAATGGAGTTAAGAGATGAAATTCAATTTACTATAAAAAATTGAAAGGGAGGGTTTGATCGTATATAGTTTTCATGCACTTTGTCAAGTACTCTTTTGTCCACATGACTTTATGTCTGGAATTTCAGTTGTATCCCACTGTGTTGTCAATTCTTTTGCTGGTGTCATCCTGTCTCGATTACTATTACGTTGTAATAGACCTAAAAGTTAAGTAATTTGAGTACTCAACCATATTTGTTTTTCGGATTTCATGTGAATATGCTTTGTCTATTTCCATTTCTATGTGTGTTTTGAATCAGATTTTTAGTTTCTGCCAAAAAAAGTGTGGAATTTTTGGAAGGGATTGGATTAAATGTTTATATCAGCTTTGGATACAAACATCTTCATGATACCAATTAATACAATCCATGATCATGGAATATATATATTTTGAGTTAATTAACATTTTAACAGTTTCTATTGGTCTCTTCATGTATTTCTTTGCATCCTTTTTTCCCCCCGGGAATGTGCTAAAGACTACAACATATATCCATACATTTTCAGTGTACTTGAAGTTGCTTCTTTTCCATGAAGTGTATGACTTTTGTGGTTTTATAAATTCATCTGCCTCACTTTTGTCTTTTATGATGTAATTGTCATATTACATCTAACACAGTTTTAGCTCATAAGCAATCAGATATGCTTCAATAGAACTAAAAATGTCCAGTAAGGGCCTATTTCCTGGTTCACATGCAGCCGTCCTTTCACCCTAATCTTACATTGCAAAAAAGGTAAAAGGCCTCTGTCAGAATACTTTTATGAGGCCACTAACACTACCATGAGGGTTTCATTCTCATGCTTTAATCATCTCCTTTAGGTCCCGTGTCCAAATACCATCACTTTGGCAGGTTAAGATTTCAACATAAATGTGTCTTGAGGGGTATATACAAATTCAGGCCATAGCAACTTCCTACTTTACTTTTCTGAAATCTTAATGGATTACTGTACCAAAAATTCTGAAAGATTTTCTGTACCAAAATCCAAACTTATTTGGGAATGTAAAGGGACAATATTATATCTATTCACCATGGAAAAAAAGAAATGGAAAACAAATCCAATTGACAAAACAAAGGAATATATTTAGGAGGTACCAAAAGAACACACAGGAAGGACTTCCCAGCCCACTGACTGCAAAAGAGCTTGCCATTTTTGTGTCTCTTTGAGCTTCCACTGGAATTTTCATATTTCTGCTGAGCTTCCACTGGAATTTTCAGGTTAAGATTTTCATGCATTTCCTCAGAAAATTAGATACATGCACTAGTTCAAAAGTGTAAGAATTAATCACATTCATACTGTGAGGTGCATTGGACTCTCATAAGGCTTTATCCTCATCTGGGGACCTGATGATTATATTTATTCTAATATATTTCAGCTGAAACAAAAAATTTGGAATGAGAATTGAGAACGCATTCAAAGAAGCCCTATGTACTCTAATATCAGTGCCAAAGTTAGGGTTACAATAACTTAATTTCTGTTATTGTGAGCACAGCAAATATGCCTTGTAGGGTATTGTTGGAATAAAATTGAGAAAGATATCTTAGATATCTTTTTTTAAATTTCTTTTCAGTTTATTTCAAATCTTGTCAAAATCATAAAAATAGAATGTTATTTTTTAATTTTAAGTCTGAATGGTTGAGCTTGAGTAATTAGCAGATACAATTTTTGCAGAGATTTTTATACTATTATACTAATTTATAATGGAAAAACATGCAAATGGCATAAAAATGTATTTTAGAAGACAAAAGACTATATGATTAAGAGTTAAGTCTGCTCTGATGGCAGTCCTCTAACTGCTAATTCTCCCTCCTAAGATAAGCATTGTTATTGATGTTCTGTGCTTAGGATGACTAAATACTGTGTTGAAGATCCTTACATATATATGGTTTTACACCTGTGCCATTTATTGGGTTAAGTCTTCAGAGCTAAAATCTCAGGGGAGAAGAGGTTGTGCTTTTTTTATTTTAGTGAGGCTTTGCCACATTTCTACCCATAGAAGATATTACCTAAAGACAGTTGCAAGGAATTAAAGGAATTGTAAGGTTAAAAATTGTAATATTAACAGAAAAATTATAGTGATGGCAGTTTTGTAAAAAAATACAAATAGTATTAACTATGTGACTGCAAATCTGTTTTAAACTATGCTTACAGTTGTCTGCAAGCTGATTATTTCTTTCCCTTGATTCTTTAAGGTTGATGACCTGACATCTGGTACCCACTGTGCTTTACCATAAATTAGCTCAGGATCTAAGATATATGGGCATTTCATTTTTGCCCTTAACTTAAATAATATTGCTAATTACTCATTTATAAATAAGGCACTATTCTTTTTTAAAATTTATTTTTATTTGAAAGGCAGGGTTACCATCAGAAGGAGAAACACAGAGATGTTCCAAAAGCTCATTCACTCCCAGGGCTGCAGTGGCCAGCTGAACCAATCTGAAGCCAGGAACCAGGAACTTCTTCCCAATTTTACATGTGGGTTCAGGGACCTAAGGACTTGAGCCACCCTCCATTGCTTTTCCACGCCATAAGTAGGGAGGTGGATTGGAAATGGAGCAGCCAGGATACAAATCAGCACCCCTATGGGATGCCAGTACGCAGGCAGAGGCTTTGCATAATATGCCACTGTGCCAGCCCCAAGGCATCATATATATTTCAGTTCAACTTTCGGAACAATCATATGAGAAATTTTAATTGTTACTCCCAAATTACAAATTAGAAAGCTGAGGCACCGAGATATTATATAATTTGACAGAGATGCTAACCAATAGAGCTTGGCTGTAAATGCAGTGCATTTGGGAAGAAGCTGAATCATGAAACTGTCATGTCCCTATCTGGCATTTTAATTTTCTTGAAAAATTATATTACACATGTACACATGCGTATACAACTATAACTTTTTGAATTGATGTTCGTACTGTCTTTGTAAATAATCTTTCCTTTTCTAATGTCTTGTGTGTTCACATCTCCCTTTTATAGATATGGCAGATTAAAACAGAAAGTATGTAACTTTTTCGTGTGTGTTGACAACACCTAGAAAATTAGGAGCCAAGCTGAAATGATCTTTAATGACAGATCCCAGTATGATAAATAAGTGTATAGCAACTTTACAGTTTTCATTTTAAATTGATGACCCTCAGGTTATTTCAGAAATATACCCAGGAAGCTCCCAAGACCATTTATAATACTAAATGTTTAAACTTTTTTTAAAAAATAGCTTCCTGTGGTTCTTTCAACACACCCCCGTGACACTTCTCATATGTATGCAAGTGGCTATATTCTCCTGTACCTTGACATGCAGGCTTAGATGAAATATTGTGGGTATAAAAATTGCATTTGGTAGGTCTGCTCGGAAGGGGTCATGTAAAAGTCATCTTTGATTTGTTAATAGAATTTTTTTTAGAGGTAGTATATGGCAACAGTGCTATGCGTACTAAGGGAAAGAATGGTCCATGTTATAAAGGTTTATTTTCATATTTTATACACTGTAGTTCTGTTGTGTGTTTTTGATTTAGTAACAGTTTATGTGTCTCTCTGTTGCAGAGCACTGCGGCCTGTGGTGTTGAGGCTCACGGCGATGCCATCCAGCCCTGCCACATCAGAGAAGCTGTGCGACGCTACGGCCACAAGATTGGCCCCCTCGCCCCGTTCACAGTACGTAATAACAGAGCTATAAAAAGTTATATTTATAATCTAAAAGAATTTTGATTTTCAAGTGGTCAAATGAAGAAGCAATGGAATTGTTGAAAGCAATTTGTGGTGACTGTAATTTTGTTGTATAAAAGTGGCATAATTCTCCTGGGAAATAAAAAGTCATTTTTGTCTCCTTTTAGAAGGACACTTTTTTCTACAAAATATTATTTTCTTTCAATTACAAATTAAACTTTTTTGTTGAGGTTTATATTTTCTGTTTTGCAAATCCTAGGTTTATAAAGCTTTTTTGTCAAATTATATGTATCCACATATTGCTAGAAGCATTTTTTTTTACTTTAAAATTGGTTAGATTGGCATTACCACTTCTATCAGATATCCTCCTAAACATACTTTGAGTTGGAAGAAGAAGAAATGATTTTTTACTGGCTTTGAACTAGGCTGAAATGCAGACTATCTTTCACATCTTCAAATAATTTGAAAGCGTATAATCAAGGCTTTGTTTTTTGAAAATGGAAACTTAAAGACTTGATATGTCAACAGTCTAAAGAAAGGAGTGTGGTGTGAATATGCATATGTGCTTTAATTAAATACTCATCTGTGACCCTTTTAAAAATCTTTATTTATATTAATAAAGGTTACTTCAAGTCCTTCTCTGTATAAGGAAATTAGTTGAGTTTCAAAAAGAAATGTATTATTTACATAACTGTGGAGTGGTAACATTTGCTTTACTTAACATTCATTTCAATTTTAACATGCTGAATGCTGGGATACAAATTTATAATATCATACATAAACAAATAAATATATAAATACATAAAAGTTATAAAATAGTGTGTATTAGGACCTAACAGTAGATTTTGCTGATTTGTTTCCAGAAGTGATTTCTTCTGAATTTTGTCATCTCTATGTTTTCTGAGTTTAAAGAGAATGCTTTCTTTCCATTCTTCATTCTTTTTGGTGTCTTTTAGTTATATGAAATTTCTGGCAGCAAGAATATGTTTTGTCTTAAAAGTTTTTTGTAATGGTAGTGACTGTTTTTACTTGTTTCATTTCTTACACATCATAAAAACATGATTTTAATACTGTTGACTAATGTAATGCATCAATGGCATAAATATTTTTGTATTCTAAAAGAAAGAATGAAATCAAGTATTCTTATTTTTTAAGCTGTAGGCCAAAAGGAAGTTGATATTTAGAAAAATATGACATGATTAGAAGCAAAAAAAAAAAAATTAAAGTTGACTGAAATGGAAACAACTTATAATGAAAGATTAAGTGGAAGACTCAAATAATAACCAGTAGTTTGGGGCAAAAGAGTAGAGAGAAAAGAAAGGGGAAACAGTAGTGATAGCAGTAGGAAATAATATTTTTGAGAAGTAACTAAAAATGGTAACTAAAAATGATGAACAAAGTTACATAAAGGAAAATGTGTCTAATGTAAGGGGAAAACCTCATAATCGTGAATTCTCCAAAGGAAGCGGTGGATACTTTATTCTGCAAGGTTTTTGTTTTTAAATAGACCGAACAGATTACTTAAGAGTCTTCTTGGTTGATGGTGTGCGTGCGTGTGTTTCTTCCCGTATCCAACCTATTACTCATGTGTTCTTTTTATAGTCTAAGACTGTAGCATAAAGTCAAAAAGTACTATAAACTAGGTTCAGTATAACCTGAGCTATTGTTATGTAGCAAACATAACCAATATGCTTTTTAAAACCTATGCTACAAGGTAAGGTCATTTGGTACAGCAGTCAAAATGCAGCCTACAATTCCACATCCCGTACTTGAAGTGTCTGAGTTCCAGTCCCAGCTTCACTTTTGATTCCTGCTTCCCATCTGGAATGCAACAGGTAATGACTCAGGTGCTTGGGTTCCTGCCAGCCATGTGGGAGAAACCCAGATGGAATTCTAGGATCCTGGCTTGGTTTCTCCACCCTAGCCCTGGCTGTTCCTGGCATTTGATGATTGAAAGAGCATCTTTTATATGTGTCCCTGTTGTATTTCAGAAAAAAAAAAGAAAAATAATTTTTAAACTAATGATACAATTTGAAAATGTAAGTAGATTTGGAAAATGGACTAAGTAAACCCACTATCAAAAGAGACAAGCAGACCAATAGCAAATGGTAAACAATCTCACTCCAATAGGGATACCCAAGGTTTTATCTCTCAGAAAAGTTCCACCAAGAAGGATCCACTCCATTACCTACAGATGAAAGACTGTGCCTGTACTACATGGCTAAATATGTTTAATCCATAACTAAGATGATTGGGTGGTAATTTCATGGTATATGTTATAATTCGTGATCCTCCTTTTATTGCTCACTCAGATTTTTAGTTGTACATATCCATGTGGTATTCTCAACACATGTACAAAATGTATAAGAATAAAATATAACTAAATAGCACTTCCATCTCCATATATATATATATATACACACACACACAAAATTTCTTTTTTTATTTATTTTATTAATTGCATTGCATTAATTGTGACACAGTGTTATGGGCACTGGGATTCCCCCCACCCCTCCCCGAACCCTCTCCCCATGGTGGATTTCTCCACCTTGCTGCATTACCATGGTTCAAATTTAGTTGAGGTTCTTTCACTGGAAGTATTTACCAAGCATAAAGTCCAGCGTCTTATTATCCTAGTGGGTTCAACAATTTTTTGGTGAGACCATCTCTGGTCTGAAGGTAAAGCCAGCAAAGCATCATCCCAATCAATTAAAAGCCCTGACATAACATCAACAGCCATTTACAACCTTATGGCATTAACTGACATGGTATTGATTAATAGTATGTTAATAGGAAAATGCGGTTTCTTAACTACATCCTGTGACTTCTTCATAGACATTTCAATTTTGGTTTGTATTCAACCTGATTCCATACAGTTATCAGTTTAGGTACAGTACATTTTTTTAGGATGGGTGTGCAGAGAAATCCCAATACCCCAGTGAGGTGTAACTAATCTTTGTATCTCACCTAGTGAGGCATGTTTGGGTCCATGCTGGCTGATTCTAAGCTTTCCATGTTGTCTGTCCATTCCAGATTTTTTTGTTTGTTTGTATATTTGTTTGTTTGTTTTATGGGGTTACTGGAGCAATCCTAATGGTCACCACGAGGGAGGGTGGGGACCCAGAGCCAGAGCCAGGCTAGGACCAGGGAGAGCTCGCCTCCCTATTCCCGAAGGAAGTTTATTATTCTTCAGTTTCTGCAGATCGCTCAAGGCTCCTGGCCGTCGTTCCAATGGCGCTGGTTTCTGCACTGCAGAGTTTGGACTTCTTCCATCCCCTGTGGAGGTTCCAGATGGGGGTGGGTAACCTCAGAGTTTTCGGTCTCTAAAGGCACTCTTATTCCCCGTGGTCTCCTTAGCGGTTGAGATGTAGTCCTTGGTGTCCGTGTTGACGGTCCTTGGTGAGGATCTGGGAGTCTTCAGGGTTGGTATGCAAGCCTCCTCTTGACCTCCCACTCCACTCTGGGGTCTCCCCGCTGCTCCGTACGCATGACTTCCTGTTAAGAGGCTTTCAGGGTCGCTCTCGATTCCCCCCTTATGCCTGACACACATAATTTCTTTAAAAAAAAAAAAAAACTTTTTGTTTTTTATTTATTTGAAAGGCAGAGTTACAAAGAGAGGGGCAGAGAAAGATCTTCCATCTGTTAGTTTACTCCCCACATAGCTGCAACAGCTGGGGCTGGGTCAGGCTGAAGCCAGAAGCCAAGAGTCTTCCAGATCTCCCACATGAACTATGGGCATAAGCACTTTGCCCATTTTCTACTGCTTTCCCAGGTGCATTAACAGGAAGCTGGATTGGAACTGGAGCAGCCAGTCTCGAATGGTGCCCATATGAGATGCCAACATCACAAGCAGAATCTTGGCCTACTATGTCACTACGTCAGCCCCCTATTTATAATTTCTTTATGTTAGGAATAAATCTGCCTTTTTTTAAGCTGAAAACTCTCTTTGAAGTGGAGTAGTTTTGTAGACTGTGCCAATAATGCAATAATTTTGTACTCTGTGCTGGATTCTACATCGCTGCAGGAGCCAAGAGGAAAAACTCATGGAGAAAACCTCTTGAAGTTGAAGGGCTGCTGAAGGTTCACTTCCTGATGCTTATTCCAAGTACCTAAAATAGTATCAAATGTGCAACATGAACACTTTGCTGTCTAGGCTTTAGGTGAGGCTCCTAACAATAAATGAGCATATGGGCTACCTCTGTAGAAACTAAGACACAAATCTAAGTTTTTATTCTGAACGGCTGAGCTTATTTAGCTACAACATAAACTTTCTCTGTGAGTTAAAATGCCAAAGAACAACTAGTTTATGAAACAGAGACTGTATCTTTGTAACATGTCATTCTAAATCTAATGTTGATGTATATTCAAACATAATATCTAATTTCATATTTCTAATCATTTTAAACTCATTTAGAGAATTAAAATAGGGGTAGATGTATGTCACAATTAAGACATCACTTGGGATGCGTACATCCCCTGCAGAAGTGTCTGGGTTTTTTTTTCCAAGCTCTGCTTCCAATTATAGTTTATTGTTACTGCACACCCTGAGATGCAGCAGTAATGGCCCAAGTACTTGTGTTCTTGCTACCCACATGAGAGACCTAAACTGAGTTCTGGACTCCTCGCTTCAGCCTAGCCCAGCACAACATACAGTACGCATTTGGGGAGTGAGTCAGCAAATAGAAGATCAATTCTCTGTCTCTCTCCTTGTCTGTGTCCAAATGATTTTTTCAAAATTTCAATTTTAAATAGTAGCCAATTATTTACATGAAAAATTAATTCCATCATAAATAAAGCATACTTTAAAATTTGCTTTTAGTGAGCCATCATTTTATCTTGCACTATATGACAAAGTTATTATCTGTAATAATTTTATAAATTACAACATAAATTTCAAGAATATGATACATTATATAAAGAATTTTCATATAAGTTCTTGGTCATGTGAATAACTTGATATAATAAAAGCAAAATGATTAATGCTGTGG